ATATATATGTATATATATATGTATATATATATATATATATATATATATATATATATATATATATATATATATATATAAAAATAAAATAAAAAAACACAGATAAAGAAACACATTAGAGAATGCAAAAAAACTACAGCAAAAAGAGCCAGTGGATGAACATAGTGTAGCGTGTTCTGTAGTTAGACAGTTTCAGCTATTGGGACAGTCTAACTACAGAATACACCACAATACTTTGCATGACGCATTCGTCACCTTCCAGATTTTGTAACTATCATTTCTGTGCCCAGCTGGTCAAACTGCCGCCACAGTGCCTGCATCTCAAGTTGAACTCTGACCCCACAGACTTGGGGGGCCTTGCTGATGAATAGTGCCCCTCCATCTGTGCAGCCAGGCAATGAAAGTTCACAGCTCTGGGACAGTGCAAGACCTAAGAGGAAAAGAAGGCAAACATCCATGTACATTGTTACACTTTTCCAAATTCTCAAAGCAGCTCAGGGTCAGCTCGCCCCTTTACCAGTTTGTCCCTAGTGAAGGGGGAAGCTGAGTGTAAAATAGTGAGCACACGTCGTCAATACAATACATAGAAAACACTCACCGTTCATCCTTTCGGTGTCTACAAGTGTCTGCTAATGTGTCTGTTCACTCCTATTAGTTTTTGCAAATCTGGCTGCTAGCTGCTGCCCAGCAGTGAGCTAAAACCACAAGTTTAGTCTGTAACATAAAGGTAGCAGCCTGTACAAAGTTTTCTCCCTCCGGTTTCCGTAGATGTGTACAATCAGGTTTTCTGAGTGGTCGTTTGTGGCTAGGGGAACAGCGTGGTTTTATAGAGCACAGAATTCTCACTGGGGACCTCCAAGCTGGCCTCATCCATTATAATACTCATAGCGGCATTGACACCAACTAATCAAAGCTGGACGTACTTTGCTGCATTCAAGCTGCAAGAGCGGTGAAGACCTGAATGCAATTCTTTGGGAAGAAGCAAATATCTCATTGCGACTTGTAGCCTGAAGCCCAAGTTGGATTAACATTTTGCACGTAACAGTTTGATGTTACTGGGTGTGAACAGATGAGAACAGAAACACTCTGTTTTTATTATTCATTGGGCCAGATTTTCAACACCATGCTAATTGGAGACTGCACTCACACGATGTCAAGCTTAAAGTTCTGGTTTTCCTTAAGGGTTGAATTCCACCATACCAGTTAGCATGATTAGAGCAAGCTTTTATTGCTAATTTAAATAAACAGCACAGAAAAAGTGATAAGTAGTTTGCAGGACTATAATATGATTCTGCTTGAGAGGCTTTTGCTTCCACATTTAGCCTCATGTGGCACTTCGATGGGACGGTGTTGATTGTTCCAGCCTGAGGGATCCCAAGCTGTAAAGACTTTCCCCTAATTAATCACAGCATGATTCTGGTTTGTCAATAAGCCGCTTCCCTCTCTGATCGACTCATTAATCATTGTTCTTAATACAGCAGACAGGAATACCTCATATGCAGCTGAATGGCAGTCTCAACTACAACTGATTGTCTTAATATTGTTCTTTTCAGGTGGTCTTTGTGATCAATGTTGGCCTATTAAAATCCCGATCTTGCCCCTTTTGCCTTGAGGGACTGCTAAGGTGAGTGTGATGTATTTTTAACAAGCAGTTTAAAGGAAAATGACTCCAGAGAACACAGTTGTATAAACAGTCAGATGTTTATTGAGCTGTATTTTTCATCAAAGCACAGTTACCATAGTTACACAGAGGTTCAAGCCTGTGTGGTAATTCACAAACACTTCAGACACAATATGTTAGCAAATGGCATGTAAAGCTGAAGACATGTGTGCTAGGTGTGCATGTGTCTCTGTGTGCGTGCTTGAATATATTCATGAAATTGCGTGCTCGGAGGGGAGGAAGTTCCGCCATTTTTGTTCATAAGTTAGGCATTAGCTTCACTTCTGAGGTGGTCTGTTTGTGAGGGGGAAGAAAGAACATAGAGACAGCTTCAATATATCTAAGACAGACAGCAAGGTGAGGTTAGTTAAAAGAAAGATACACAGCATTTAGTTTTTGCTGAAGGTATCTCTGATGATGGCAGCCATGGCCTGGAGCTTCTCCTTGACTTCCTCTCCAAGAGGAGTCAGCTTCTCCCTCAGGCTAGTGATCTGCTCGGCGTTGACGCCCTGTGCCTGGCTGTAGGCCTGTCTCAGCTGCTCTTTGTATTCTTCCACGTAAGGGGTAGCCATCGCCTTCAGGGCCTCCAGGCGCTCGACAAGCTTGGTGCGCACAGACTCAACAATGGGCATCAGGGCAGCTCTGGTCTCATCCAGGTTGGTGGCTACCTTCTGACGCAGCTCCTCCATAACGGGCTCCATCTTGGCCCTCAGAGCCTCCATCTCGGCGTTCTGCTTAGCTTGGTACTCTCTGACATAGGGCTCCAAGTGGGTGCGGTACTCCTCCAAGTGCTTTTCGATGACCTCCCTCAGCTTGGCACGCTGGGGCTCCAGTTCAGCTCTGAGAGCCTCAATGTCAGCTGCAATAGAGGCACGCAACTCAGCAGTGGCATCAGAGATGCTGGAAACGACAGTGTCGGTCATAGGGGACACTTGGGCCTGCATCTGCTTGATGTTGTTGTGGATATCCTCCAGGCGCTGAGCCAGGGAAGCCCTGGAACAATACAAAGGTCGAAGGGCTCATGACTAAATAATTGCAGTACTGAAGGATTCGTGAGAGGGGCATCAGCTAAAACATTTTCTTACTTCAGTTCCTGGTATGGAGTGTCATCAAGCTGGTCCAGAGCTTTGATGGCACTTTCCTTTGCCTGTGTCATGTAGACATCAGCAGCAGCCCTGATATGGGCGAGCTGGGAGGGGGCATCAGCCTGCAGGGAAGCGGCCTGGGAGCCTGAGGTGAGAGGTGCGAAGACAAAAAGTTGAACATGTGCAACAGATCTTCTGAGACAACACAGACTCAGGACAGAATGTGTCTTGTACTCACCGACTGCCAGGAGAACGGCAAGAGCAAGAGCCACGAATTTCATGATGATGGTCTAGAGTGAAAAAATACACAGGATGTTAAAGAGGAACGGTGAAAACACACAAAGGAATATGGTAATGTGTCCACTAAAGCAGTGTTAAATCTCCTGCCTAAAGCAGATTTATGGCGTCTCAAAATTAAGAATGCTTTGTAAAACACTCATCCCCAAACTGACCTAAATTAGCTGGGAGCCAACATATGGCTGTTGATTGGGACATCGTGTAATCTGAGTAGATTAGCAAAGCAGTTTAAGACGATAAAATCCGAACTGTTTCATAATCTTGTTTTAGGGTTTAGCAAGTCAGCTGTCCGGGCTAGAAGACGATCTCAATCCGGAAGCAAATGAGTTTAGAGACATCTTTAAATGGAAATACCAGCTGTAATATCTCCTGAGGCCCAACAGCTTCAACCTGAAGTTGTAATGACAAGAAAGAAAAGTCCTAATGCTACCATTAGAAAAACACTTATCTTTCCACAATTGTATGTTTTAGCCTCTCGTTCAGAAGTTGAGGTCTCACAGAAAAGCAAGATTTTGGAAATTTTAAAAAGATGTGATTTTTTTTTTTTTTCTGATCCCCCAGCCTGAAGACCAAATTACAGTTCCTGTCCCAGTCGCTGCTTGCCTTACCTGGTGGAGTTGGTGACGAGACTGAACCACTCTAGCCACGGCAGAGTTTTTATAGTCCCCGGATCAGGGACGAGTCCTTTGCAGAGGAGGGGGCCGAGGGGAGGAGTGAAGCAGTGAGGGCTGCGTGTCTCCGTGGAGGTGGACCTCACCCCCGAGCCGTCTTCCTCAGCAGGGGAATCGGGTTGAGGGTTCAACGGTCACATACTGCGAGGAGATCAGGAACACACGTCAACAGATCTGGCAAAATATGCCCTATATCCTGTACATTATCACTGTTCAATACACATGGTAACTTTTACAGAATTTATTCTTTCCAAGAAGTTTTTTTGTTGTTGTTGTTGTTGTTGCTGCTGCTTTTCTTGTGTCTGAGACATCATATGGTTATGAAAACAAAAGTATGCAGACAAAGCCAAGAAACCTACAATAAAAAGGGAAGGAGGTGAGAGGGAGGTTAGGAAAGAGTAGGAGAAAAGAGTGAATACAAAGAATTTCACACAAGCAGAAAAAGTTATCCAAATGTGTTTGCCAGAAAGCCACATTATTTTTACTCGTTGTGCTTCTAAAAATGCTGCCAAGTAAAACAATGATGAGTACAGAGAGCACATGGACTTGATACGGTCAGCTTTCTGAAACACAACAGCATTCAATGAACAGTCCCTGTGTGTTGTGTGTTGAAGATACCAATACAAAAACACACACACCACCCCACAAACAATATCATGTATAAAGTATCAAAACAGAATTATCTCAGCATTTAGATAACAAAATTTGTCACTGGTTGAGCGTGTGTGTGTGTGTGTGTGTGTGTGTGTGTGTGTATGCGTGTGTGTGTGTTTGCATGATGATTAATAGGTCAAAGAGTTGTGTACTCTGTCCTGTTGTTTGTTGTCCTGTCACCTGTGGACTTTGTCACTCTGGCTTCATGCAATTTGTGGATTTGGAGTGATCACATTTTATAATTATACATGTACATGTGTAGTTCATTTTCACAGCTCTATCCTTATGGAAATGTGAAACTTCTGGAAAAGAAAGTGAATAAAGTGTCCAGCCAAGTGTTTTTAGCAGTGGTATACTAGCAGAGTGGACTCTGTATAGTCAGCACAGCGACCAGTTGCCGGATTAATCATTGGAAGCCCTGGAACTACTTTTCTTGCATAATGTCAGGCCTATATGGTCGATGCATATCTTTGTGAACGCTGTTTCTTTCAAGCCTTTTTTCCTGTGACTTCTCCCTCTGTCCTATTGCAACATCTCCACAGCTTGTCTTATGCAACACTGATCGTTATAGGACAATAATTTGAAATAGGAGGCAAATAATTCTTGGTAAATACAGCAAATGTGATGAAATATAACCTCTCACAGCTGTAAAAACAGTAATTGTGCAGAGAACTGACAAAACTAAATACTGCTAAATACTATTTGGTTCCATCGAATAGCCAGCTTTGACAAGCTGGTTGAAATAAGACTCTGGAAAATAATAATGTTGTCATTTAAATAGATCTGAAACCCATTTCGAGTGACATGAGTGCCATTATCTTCTACTGCAGTTTGTGAGATTAAGAAACTAAAGGTATGATGAGTTTTGATGGATCTGTAACTGTAATGTTTCTGGCCAAACTCGTTCTCCCCAGATCTATATTTTAGATTTATTTGTTGATCATTTGCTTCTTTGCAGTAAGCTAGTTGGTTAGCACATGCAGTTTAGACCTAATTTTAAGTCACCTTTGCAATTCCTAGATTGTCTGTTCCCTGTCTCCCCTGATTGCGTTATTGAGCCAACATTTCACAGAGGGCTAGCTAAAGCTGAGTTTGATAACCAGACCAACGAGTCGACCCCTTTTTTCCGTCCCTCTCCATCCTGAAACTTTCACCATGCTGTTATCAGCTGTGGCGGTTTGTCTGAAACTGATTAGCAAAATGTTCCAGACAAGCTGAAAACTGTGACAATGATGGGTGAGAACAGATCACATGGAAACATTTGCAAGGAAAGACTTAGTTTATTTTATTTTTTTTATCTAATCAGAAATGCCGAGATGTTTCCATCTTCTTCATCTGAAAAGAAAACCATACTTTGCTACTTTACTATTAAAGAAAACGCTATCAGATCTTGAAGGAGTGAAAATGCACAAAGGGACATGAGAGAAAAAAACATGGATTTTTGCACAGTCTTGGAAAACTTTTATCGGCTCATTCAAAAGTTGCTCGGGATTTCATTAACCTTCTGCAGGATCATACAATTTTTTTTGAGTACCTCGGGATCTTGTAAAACTTTACCAAAGTCATCCAAAAACTAATCTTAAAGATAGTCTCTTAGAAGCAACATAATCCTCTGTGACATTTTGCCAAAACATATTCAGAATCAATCCATCTGACTGGGAAATTTGCTAAACCCTTGTAGGTCATGCAAAAGAGATTCGAGGTCTTGCAAAAGTAACTCTGGATCTTGAGTCTTGCAAGACATTTGCAGGCTCTAACATATTGTGGCTCTCACCAAAGTATCTTGGTGTCTCAGAAAGTGTTTTATTATCATCTTGGAAAACGTGTTTGGTATGTTGCAAACGTATCATGAGTGAAACAGGCTGTGTCAGAGAGGACACTTATCTGGAACAGCAACCTTTGAGACTCCTTGCATTGCTGTGCATTGATTCAGCATCCAGACCGATCTGCATCTGTAGATTACTGCAGTCGGTTGTGTTGCTAGCAGGAGAGTTGCTGAACTCCCAATGTGTCAGAAGTGGAAGAAGGTTTGAAAACTTTGATCTGCTTAAAGCAATTCGTCTGTGACTTTGATTAGATCTTGCTTAGAACATGAATTTTTCTCCTGATGAATACAAACTACTTCCATGGACAGATTAAACGATTACACGGGGTTTGCTAAGTATTTTAGCAGAAAATTCAACATTTGATCATGTGCTGGCTGAGGGTCGAAGGTCATCTCATTGTTCCAGCTGCATCCTTGGTGGAGCGCTGCTCTCAGACCAGCAGGGGAGGTTGTCTCAGCTGTAAGCAACAACTTGCGTGCACTTATTTTTCTCCAAAGCACACACCGTTGTAAATCGTTATACCCGAGCCATTTTAACTTTATGGTGTGATTTTGCAATATCACATCTGCTAAGGTCACTTCTTCTTTAATACAGACATTTGTGACAAAGTCTCTCTAGCAGAGCAGCACTGTTGGTTGTAACGTCCTGAGGGCTGGAAAGCTTGACAGCAAAGCAAGACAGTCCACCCTGAACTCAGATAACCGGGACAAACGGATTTAAGGAAACTCAAAAGAGATGTTATTTAATCATAAACCCATTTGCCCCTTTCAATGCACATATTAAGCAACATGCTTTTTTTAATTTATTTATTTCTAGAGCTTTTATTAAAAATATCCAGACATTAAAAAAAATGTGATCTTCCATTCTGAGACTTTAGACGTGCAGTGGCCACAAAACAGTTTCATAATCTTTAACCCTTTTTGTATTTGTTACATTTCAAACGCTAACTTCGATGCATTTTAATGATGAAGTTTTGTGTGACAGATCAGCACAAAGTAGCAGTTACTTGTGGAGTTTCAGAAAATGCTGTCGATACATGCTTTTATCAATAAAACCCATACATTTTAACAGTCATATCTTTTTAGACCCTTTACTTTAATACCTCTATGCAAAATCCAGTGCAGTCACTTCCCTTTGTCCCCTATTTAAATGAAGTTGATACGTTGAAATGAATGAAGTTCATATGAGTATGCATAATTTAATTACAGTATTAATTTTATTTGAGCCCAGAGGAGAAGGTAGATGGATAGGAAACAATACATGGCAGTTAAAAAAAAAACATCTAATAAATAAAAATCTTAAAACGTGGTGTGTATTTGGAATTCCACTCTGGCCAGGTCCATAGTCACTGGCGACCTCTCACAGGTTATCTTCTGCCCTATATTTAGTGCCATACGTCTTCGTGTCAGTTCTGACTAACTTCCATGTCCCTGCTAAGCAAAGCAGCACAGCATGATGCTGCCGCCTCCATGTTTCACTGTGGGTGTTTGTGGGTTCAGGGTAATCTATAGAGTCTTTTGTTTGTTTACTATTTATCCTAAAATACTTTTGGCAAACAGCAAGCATGACTCTTGTGGTTTTCTTTCAACAATTGCCACTGATCTGTATAGGAAATATTTATGGAATGTTGTTTTTGTTTTGTTTTTTGTTCAGCTGAAAGGTACTTTTAAGCTCCTCCAGAGTTACTCCTCTGTCTCCTTTGTTAAGAAAAAATAAAACAATTTCTGTAATCAAAAAAAGCTGGCAGCACAACTTATGTCTTTAAACTTGCATCTGAACCAGATCAAATCAGTGACAATCCAATCTGGTTAGGATTTTAGTCCTAAAGTGCACTGAGAGTTTACTTTCTTTTTTCACATGGTGTTATGCTGACAAAAGCAATCGAAGGAAATTGAGGACACACCTGGGCAAGTTCTATGGCAACCAGCAATCAGTGAGTTGGCTCTTTGATCAGTGATAGGGAACATTATCTTCCCTGTTTATGAGTTTCTGGTGCCATTTGCTGTTCTAGATTCTGTTCCTTAGATAATCGAGTTTATTGACATGAACAGTAATCGTTGGGACTTACCAAGATGGGTACATAATAACCTCGTTAGAACATTTCACTCTTCAAGGTTTGAAGTTTTTCCTGCTCCTCTCTGCAGTAACAGATCCAAGAGACCAGATTAAAAACGGTGCTAATGACATTTATTGGTGTGGTACAATAAGAACTATTAACCACAAATGGAGAAACCACGCTTGCTGAGCGTTCAGAGAAGTGGCCAGTCTATCACGAGTGTGGTGAGAGAGTTCATCCAGAAGGTCATGAAAGGTCATGAAAGACCTGAGAAACACGGTTAAAGCACTGTAGGCCTCACTGTTTTTAGTTAAAATCATAGTTCGCCATCAGCTAACACTTTTAGAAAACTATTCTGGGAACTGGGGAGACAAAAGGGAAAAGTTTTGGAAAGTGTGCATCTCACTACATAATGCATAGCACCAGAGCGGCATTTCAGAACTGAGCAGACGTGC